TATTTCTCCTTCAATAAAAACACATCATTCTCTCAGTACCAACTTTTGTGCCTCTTCCATGCATTCGTAAAATGCGCTCATTATAAAAAAACGAAAAAACAAATCAAAACAAATATTACAAATCACACAGAGACAATATCTTAGTTAAGGAAGATAAAGGTTGCAGTTTGAATTAAGGTCACTGTGACCTATATCATTATTAAAACACCCATAGTTGTCAACCCTCCCTCATTACGAGGGAGACTCCCTCATTTTGACCTAAATTTTACCAATCTCCCTCAAAACTCCCTCATTCAAGTCCAAATTCACACAAACTCAAAATCTACATCCTGTGGTCACATGATCTCCTAGTTACTGCAGGGTGTGTGTAATGATCATAACAGGTGTGTCTGAATCAAATGATAGCTTTTTGAAGTTATTTTGATACATAAAACGGGAAATATAGATTGAGCAAAGCAATTTCAGCCATGTTTCAAGCACTTTCTCCCTCATTGTAGGTTGACACCCATGAACACCCTTGGGACAACGTAATTCGTCCGGCTTGCCATGAGCTCCGGACTGTTGTTGGTCTACCATACTTGTTATACACTGTCTGAACCAAACTCTTTCACCGGTTTAGAATGCACTATAAGCTGTTACCAGTAAATTCTCTTTCACCTTTTGGCCTCCCTTAATGAGTTTGTCATGACAGCGAATAAAAAGTACACAACATAAATTCAAAGAAATAACACATGAAGGGAGAAAGTTTGACAGAGTAAAAGTTTCCTGGTACACACGAACAGTACTAATTTGATCAAAATAAGAATAAATTTCCTTGAAAAAGTATTAAAATCACTATCATTAAACGTAGTGTGTAACCAGACTAGTGAACCAGCAAGGAAACAACTACGGAGCAAGATTTATGGTCTTAACACGTGTGTTTCCAGTAAAAATTCATCTATTTTTTATATGGATTCTGGTCATTTTCAGCAATAACACACACCACTAAAGGATCCCTATACCACTGCCAAAAAACTGTAACTACACATTGGAAACTGACTTTTCAGGCAAGACTATAGCTTAGGTAAATCATTTCTGACAAAATATAAACAGTAGTGTCTTGGGTGTAAAAATTCCTTTAGCTTAGGGAAATCATTTCTGACAAAATATAAATAACAGCAGAGTCTTGGGTGTAAAAATTCAGAGGGACTGGACCAAGATTCGAACCCAGGACTCCAGGTTGTTATGCTATCGCTCAAACCGACTGAGTTATCTGGTAAACTGAAGCACCTTGGCTAAACTTTACAGTTATATACAAAACGAAGTTAAAGGGAGGTAACTGTGTATATTAAAACCACAGTGCAGTGGTGCAGGGATCCTTAAAAGATAGAACACATTGTGGTTAACACTTTCTTTACATTACGTTTCCCTCTAAAAGATACCGGATGACAGGAACAGAAAATCCTATTTTCAACCACAGACTAGTAAGACTGATCTTATCTTAGATCATGCTCCCATAAAAAAAATGCCGAAAAAAGGGAATGCTGTATTTTATACATCACTTTTAGAAAACATCACAGCTATTATAACATCTCCATTGACAACACCCTTAAATTATTATTTTTTCATACTAATTCCAGCTCTCGGATTGGTTGGTTAACCCTTTCACCACTGTGGGCCACAATGGACTCATCCAGATAAAAGTAAGGTAGAGTCTACTAAAGTTACCTAGGGGTGAAAGGGTATCGTGTGACAATAGCAAAAAGGTGTTATTTGTCACAAGTGGCTCCGTGGTAAAAATAACCAGCTGTAACGTATTTAAGAGAACACAAAATCTGAGGTTTTTAAAAAAAGTTAACTGTTTGATTTATAAGCTAGTTGCATGGATCATGAGGTAAAAACTTCTAGATACTGTAATAGTGGAAATTTTCAGTGTGGAAATTCTTCCATTTTTTCTGTTGAATAAATTAGCATGAAATTATGAGAATATGATATAGAATATATTGATTTCTGAACTACATGTAATGCCAATATGAAAATTTCCACATCTTGTTCAGTATAAAAAGTCACGATGCGAGATTTCCACTTTTATGGTAGCTTGGATCCTGCTGAAGAGTATCGACCATGTTCTCCATGTATTTAGAGATCCCACTGTAAGTTCAGCCTTGACATGGTGATCTCTTTTAAATTGGTTACTTTGTAACTCAAATTCTTATCTTCTTCCATTATAAAATCTCCATCACAAGATGTTAACATGTCACTAGTAAACCTATTTATTCGCAATAAGCCCACCTAAATCTATTGTTGTGCAGTAGAAATTAGATTTCATTGTTCTGTTCATTATAAGCCATCCAGCTACATTAAACAAAAGAGTATGTGTTGGCCCCCTGGTCTTAATGCAGTATATATTCGGTATAAGCAACCCCTTGGCGTATTAATGTAATATATATTTACATTTTTACTATAGAACAATTGTTAAATTCTATTTATTTGTTCTGAAATAATTCATTAATTTAATTTGTTTTGTATATGCGTCGTCTTTTAAACGACATTGGCGGAACAGCCCTATTTAAATAAAATTGCCGCCAATAATTAAATGTTGTCATTTGCGTGTTTGTTGCAGGGGCATTCTCCATTTTAACTGAAGCGTAGCAACAAGTCTCTCATTGAACAAGATTAATCTATGACATCATAAGTAAACCATGTGTTACGTCACGAGAGTTTTTACTTTCATACTCAAATGAAATGCATTTCTGCTGGTAATGTTCATATACTGGGTTGCAGCACAAATGTAAATACAAATATGTGTTTATACTATAGAGGCGATTATGACGATTTCATGTATGACAAAGAACAGGGTCCAATAATGCGTCAGTATCTTAAAATATTTGAATACTCTATAAGAATGACTTGAAACTCTTCAAATGAACAGTCTTCAAGTCTTCCTTTAGAACGGTTAGAACAAACGTGCTCATTTTAGTTGATCATAATATCCACATGTAATAAATACCTCAAAATGTGAGGATGAAAAATATGACTAACTACGTACAGGTTTTCTGAAATTCAGTTGAAAACTTTGTTCAGATTACCATAGAATGATAATCTCAATAATAAAGCACTTTGCAATAAGTATTTTTGTAACTAACCAGAAATGAAAAATACTTAAATTCTTTTGTATAAGCGAAGCACCACTAATTATTATAAATACCTATCTATACCTACCCCTGTCTCCCATCTCTGTTACAGCAGAGTGATAAATCTAACAAATATAGCACTTTTTTTATCTGATTCTAAGCTACAATATACGATTATACTTTTGAGAACCCAAATGTTTTACATCAACTAAAGACAGCTTATGTATTGAACATGCAAGAAGACTGCCTAATCACCGACTGGAAAACTGTTTTTATTCAGATGAGACCTTAACTACTTCCTCCCAAACTTTACAAGCGCATTACTGTTTTTGCTAGGGAGAAGATAAATCTGTCTTAACCTGCCTAGGGAAAGACAGGTCACACTTCACTGTTCTAAAAATCTGATTCAATATAAGGAGAAACAGACTCCATATAAGGAAATGGTGGCGCTAGTGTCTAATGTGCAATTCTATGTTATGCAAATTTCTTAGCATACTCGATCCCCTAGACACCTGTGATACCTAATGCAAGTGTCAGAAAGTCATCATTGTGTAATCACTTTATGACGTGATACCAGGGTCACGTCATAAACCAGGGTCACGTCATAAATTCTGTCCTTTTTCATTTCTGTATGAGAAACATAGGAGAAAAATCATCTATCACTCCTTTGCAGTACAGACAGATCAATTGCAATCCTCATGATAAGATTTTTGAAAATTCGCACTCTGCCAAATCTGGTGCTTAACTTAAAATCTTACCCTCGGGTCAGGATATCTCTATCTAAGTTTCAATGAAGTGACAGATTCTATTTGTCAAAAGTACGTTTTTATGAGAGAAAATCTTTAAACGAACGTATACTGTATACCGGAAAACTTCCGCTCTGAAATTTTTTCGCTCTACACAAATAAAATAAAATCTGTTTTCGCCAAATGTTTAATTTCGCCCTTCACATTTGGTTACTACCAGGTATGTTTATTATATAACTTATTACTGTTCCCTGTAATGATAAATTCGCCTCATTGCTGAGGGGGGAAAAAAGTGAAAATTAAACAGTGGCAAACATTTCCAGGTATTCAGTACATGCTAAAACATACATGAAATCAACAAGACGAAATCTACTATGTAGGGTATACATCAATCCCTTTTTTTCTTTGTTTTTTAAATTTTGGAATGTAAATACTTTCCCCCCCCCCCCAACAAGAACTGATATCATTACATTGTTATTATGAAGTAGTTTAGATAAAAAAATCAAAAAAAATCCATGTGAAGTAAAAACAAAATGCCTCATCATTTCTAAATGAATTCAACTCTCACACTGATTCATCACAGAAAGTGGAGGACCAGGCCCCGGAATCTTAAGTCAAAATATTTCATTTGATTATAAAACTGGTATTTTTGAGAGCAATTTTTTTTGAAATTATACATGGTTAAAATACATGCATGTCGACATAGGTAAAATAATATATAATGAAAAACCAGACACTCAATGGACTAGGGGCGTTAAGGCTCATTTCTATCCTCAACAGGGATTTACAATTAGTTGTTATATTTGTTATCTGGGATAAATAAAGTAATTATAAGCCAATCTGGAATTTCAAATTCATTTGACAACTGGTATAGGAAATATGGCATAACAAAGTGAGGTATTAACACATATTTTTCGTAAGAAAATGTGTAAATATTGTCTATTGTGCTTTATTTTTGTTGCAAATTTGCCATTTTGAAACAATTTTACGAAACAGTCTTCATTGTTTGAAAGCCTCCACATTTACCAAACAAACAAATATTTGACATAATAAAACATTGTCATACCAGTTTTCATTCATAGAAAGGAATTCTTGTTTGTCACATGCAGAGGCTTTCATTTCTGTATGCTAGCTGTCAAAAACTGCTGAAAATGACCCATAATGCCCCTAGTCCTTTCTGACTCTAGTCTTAGGTTTTTCACGTTTCAAGGCCTGGTGCTACCAGTGTATCACAGCTAATACTTCGACACAGGACTAGAAAGAAACAAGAACGGAAGAAATCCTGCCCAGTCCTTTATGCACAGGAAGGGTGGTCAGATAAACCTTGCCTAGGTGATGGCTGGCCGTCAGACGACCATGGTGTTACCAACAGAGGATCACCTCTGGTGGTTTAGCAACTGGTGAAATGCCGTAGTTCTAGTGATATGGGGTAAAGACTCCTGGTCTTCAGTTCATGATGGTCAAAGCACGTATGATATTTAATGACTTCTATTTCAACTTTAAACAAGTCATTCAAGTGCATTTGAGTCCAAAGTTACGCATAATAAAGACAGTAGGTCCGGTATATGATTCAATTTAGTACCAATGGGTACCGCTAGAGCGGCGTTTGTGTGAAAACGACATTTTTGAATATCTTGAGCTCATTAACTGAAGTAATACCAATAGCTTGCGGCTAACACCTTAGCTAAAATGGCCCTCTACCTACATCAGAACTCGGACAATGAACACTTGATACGTCGACGTCCACAGACAAAATGGTCTCCAAGCAACAGGGAAGTTCATAAGATCCCTCGATGGTTGATTATTTAAATTGGCTCACTAGTCAAGGTTTCTTTCACCCATCTCTGTACATCGTCACGATGCGTCACATGACTATGTTCACCCTCAAATCGCTGTTGGTCCGTTAGCTGTGAAATCAAACTCCTCGTCCTCACCACCTATAGACTTCAAGGTAATCCCTCCATTTGTGGCTTTTGCCTTATTCATAGCTGTAAAATAAAGTCACATCAAAATTACAATACAGGTCACAAGGTCACATGGTCACATCCAAGTTGTAACATAGAGCTCAAGATCATAAAAGACTGCAATCTACATTTACCCAGGTAGAACAGTTAGAATACAATGAATTGCATACAACAAATTTCAACATTGTACAGCCAGGTTGCACAACATCTTGTTCAAGTCTTTAAAAGTTAAGACTATCTTGCTGAGTCATCAAAAATTAGGAAATTTTGTTCGGACATCAAAAGTAAGGGAATAATGCATTACCAGAGTTCATATAAAAATATCACAAAGCATCAATTTTTTTTTAATTTTGTTTAACAGTCCAACAGGGAAAAATATTTAGTAATAGTATTAACGTTTTAATAACAGAATCCTGCTCTTAGAACTGATTCATCAGTACTTCACGTCCTCTGGTAAACCCATGCACATACAGTGAACAATATCCATCACATGTAAAATTCAAAATGCAACATACATTAGAAAGCTCTGGAACCAGCATTACAAAATGTTTTCTTTATGAAAATTATTGCAGGAATGATTGTTTAACTTGCTCCCGTCCGACCGGAAGTTTGTGTGAGCAGAAATTCAAATACCTGGACGTAATGTGCTTTTAAAGTCAAATATCTGTGGGAATTAATTTTTCAATGTCCATTATGATTTCCGGCACAAATAATTACAAACAAATCATTTTATTTGCATATTTTATCAACTCAAAATTGTTTCAAAATATTTCCACTTCCGTGATGCATTAATGCAGCATTCGGCCCAGACCCGGTGATGCATTACATCACCGGGTCTAAAAGGGTTAAAGGATTCCTGTTCCTCTGCAGCCAAGACACTAGAAAATTCTGTGATAAATTTTCATAAATAGGGAAGTTATGCTTTTAATAAGAGCCACAGTACTATTGATGATTAGATAGCTTATTTAGTTGTTTTAAGCGACAGCAAGATCAGAGGTCCAGCGTTTAAATCCTGGCCCTTTTTACTCTTAAAACAGCGTATTTTTTTGTTTTTCTTTCATCATTATTATATTTTCATTAAAGCTCCACAAAGAAGTATGGTTTTCTTTTAAGAAAAGATTTATGAAAGCTATAGGCATGCCCGAAAAAAAATGCATAGTTACAGCTTTTAGCAGTGGTACGGGGATCCTTAATAAAAATTAATATCAAATGTAGGCAGCATAAATTATACAGTTAATGATGTTATTTATATACTTGTACATGTTTCCCGTCCACAAAAGTTAGATGGTGTTAGAAGCAAACACTACAGTCTACAATATTAATATTGGAAGCATTCAAAATACTCATCCTCGATACTCAAGGGGTTACACTCTCTTTCGCTCTCTGCACCCTGGAATATGTCATAGCAACATTGAAGGCTCAGTGAGCACCAGGTTTTGGATGAGACAAGAAGACTAGTTTGATCTTTTGATCTGCATCAAAAGGATCTCGCTGTCGTATATCGGTAAAATTGATCGGCTTTGTATTCGGGTGTCGCTCCTTTTTAATCTTCAAAGGACAGGAATCTGCCTAGTCATTGGTCGGGTTAATTTAACCTGATACCAATCAAATAGCTGGCCATGTGCCTTCTATTTTGCTATGACATATTCCAGGTGTGCAGAGAGCAAAACTGAGCGGAACCCCTGGAGTAAAGAGGACGTCAAAATGCTGTACAATGGTCACAAGGCAAACAAGACATGCAACTGAAAACAAGTGTTAATAGAAGCATAATGGCTGAAAACAAAATGTTAATGAAAGCTGAAATAAGGATAAGTGATGTATATGTTAGAATATTATTGAAAAAAGGTTATTGTATTAAGTCTGATTGAAAATATGTTGATACAACCGTATTTCCACCAACAAACACATTATGATGGGTTGGACAAACCTTTGAAAAAATATGCAAAAATACATTAAAAGTTTTAATGAAATCTGAATGAAAATTTCTTGATACAATCTTATTTCTACCAACATATACATATACCTTAGGATGGGTTGGACAAACCTTTGCAAAAAAAACACAAAAAGGTACGTTTATATTCATAGTTAGAGAAAAAATAATTTTATAATTTGAATTCATAACAAAGAAAGTTGCACTTTTAGCCCTCCTCCAGCTCACACTTGGACCGTCAGTCAATAAGAGAAAGTATTTATGTCACCCTGGTAAAAAAAACTAGTCGCTTCCTACTGACTCGGCCACGGAGAATTTATCTTTAGCTCATTCAGTTGAGTGTAAGACTAGTAAACCAGATATCCCGGGTTCGATTCCTAGTGGAGGCAATGAAAAAATAATGACCTCTGTTAGATTGGCGCCCATGTAAGGACCCTGGAAATATTAACAAATATATACTCAGCTATACTTTCACAAGAATCGCTATGAACCCTGGAAAACTTTCGACGAGTTCTTTCCTGGAGGGGGAGTATGTCACTCTGGTTAAAATAATATCTGTTTTCTACCGTCTCGGCTGGTAAGGATTTCTCTTTAGCTCATTCTGAAGAACGTAACACTAGTAGAAGCCGGAGAACCGGAGACAACCACAGACCTGCGGTCAGTACCTGGCGATTGCCCCACGTAGGCCTTGAACCTGCGACCAAGTGGCGGAGGGCTTGTGCTAGCAGACGGTCAGACGTCTTAATCACTCTGCCACTGGGACCGAACTATTTTAACCTAATTCAATTACTTACGACACTAATCTAATAGACATTCTCTACTTAATAGAAAAAAAATAGCATTACATGCTGATGACAATAGGGTTAGTTGGGCAGAAATTCTTTTCATTCTCCTTTGGGACTTATGTGCAACACCATGTTATTGTTTTCAAGACTTGTGCAATTCCATGCAAATGTGACAGTTCATTTCCCCTACTAAGGAAAAAATAACATAGTAAAAGTGCAACAAAATGCTAAAAAAACTAAGTGAAAATGAAAGAAAAGGTCTTCAAAGATGGAAAATTTTTATAATTAATGAAAACAAGTTGTTAAAAAACCGAAAGATGAATTAATACAGTGAGTATACCAAATGAACAAAAGCATCAACCAAAAACATGCAAGAGGCCAAGGGGAATCTACAACGCAGAAATATATATTACAAGTAGTTGTTCGTAGCTGGCACTGTTACGCGATGGGGTTAAGTCTATCTCCATCTTCAGACCCTAAGATGATTGGGTCGTCGTAGCTGTCCGTGTCACGACCATCCTGTAAAGCTGCCTGACCTGTTACATTAACAGACTCAACAAATCAGTATACACTAAAAGTTCATATATTTTACAACAATTGTAGACAAATTATTTCAACCTATATTAATCACCAGTGTGAACTCTGTATTCCTTCTTGGTATCCACCGTATAATCGA